CCCAGGAAGCTGAGCATGGCTTAGAGAAAAACAGGCGCAATCTTAACAGGTCTTCCTATAGAATCACGACCACTAACCTCGAGTGCGCTCTTTGCACTCTCCAGCTGGGAGCACCCTTCTCCCAGCCTCAGCCTTCTCTCAACTCGCACCCTTCCCTGCCTCTGCGCCATGTCTCCCGGCCTCCTGTCCCCGTGGGTGCTCTGCCATGGGTCCCCCTCCCAGCCCTCAGAGTTTGTCCCTTCATCGCAAGCCCGCCTCTTCCCTCCACCTGAAACCCCTCCACTCTGCTTCATGGCTGCGCTAGTGCTTCTACGCCGTCCTGCCACCAGCGGTAGACTGATGCTTAGGGGTGTCAGCCTTCTCTGTTGTGACTGTGTCAGAAGGAAGTCAGCAGCTGCTCAACATCCCCTCGGACACTAGTTCTGGCCCCATGCTCGGGACATCCACCAACAGCAGCTGCTCCCTGGGAGGGAACTGTATTCAAACCCCAGCAAGCGCATTACGTGATGGAAGCGCTTTGCATCCCCTGGACTGACGCACCGTCAGCGCTGGAAAGGAACTCGGGAAGCACATCCAGGCTCCGGTTGAGAAGCCGAGGCTCCGAGAGGCGGCCACCTGTTGCTCTGTTGAATATCCTGATATAAAGGGGTGTGGGGGTGCAACTAGAAAAATGATATGGAGCCTTTGAAAGGCTGTGCAAGTGATTGAAGGCATTGCACCCCCATTTCTTAGCGTTTAATAAACCAGATGAACGCTACAGTGCACATTTCAAACAAATACCCAAAAGGAGGAATAAGAAGAGAAGGTGACGTGGTCAGGTAGAAAGAGAAGTTCTGGTTGAGACTGTGGGTTTGCTTACCCAACCACTAACTAGCTGTGATGCTCAGGGGAGCATCGTCTCCATGGGCCTCACCTTTCCCATCAGTTAAATGGGAGGAAGTGATGGGACTGTGGCCATTCTGAAGGTCAAGGTCACCTTCACAGGCAAGTGCTCGCTCTAGCTCAGGTTTCACACATACCTCATGAAAGACCCCCTCTAATATCTTTTCAATTTTGCTTTTTTTCTTGATTTTTTGCCTCTTCAGGCAGTATTTTCGAGTTTCCAAATGGCACTTTGGCTTCCCTTGTTGGCAGCACAGGGACTCCCACTCATTTTTCTCCCGTTCTAACAGAAATGAGCTAACCCACCTTCGAGGCCACCTGGCTCACATGAGAAGAACAGAAATAGATTGAACAGGTCATCAACTCTTGCTTTTCTATTTTTCTGTGTCTACCTACTCAAATGATGGTTAAATGGGACTTAAAATCCAACAGATTCCATTTATTTTGAAAAACCTTGAACTTGATGCCCCTCACATTGTCAGACCTCCAAAGTGCATTACTGACTTAGATCTGCTACTTGACTTGGATTTAAAGCCAATGACTACTGTCAACTCTTGAATGGTTTCCTCCAAGGCTCCCTAGTCAGGAAATGTAAGTAATGTCCATAAACCTAGGAGCAGCGGGCACTATGATTCCTTTGCCTCGGGCTCCACTGCGGCGCGGCTGCCCCTAGGCCATGCTGCACAGGCTGGATCCCACCCAAACAAAGCCGGCTGTCTGGGAAGATAGCGAATGCAAAGAAAAGGGAAATGCTGAGAAAAATGCCCAGGGAGGAGGAAGAACAGCAGCTCTTCGCTGGGAACACTGTGCTGTGTTGCTGGGAAGACTAGAAAACAGAAGAATCGTTTTAGGTCAATTGGATTTTTCCTGCAACCAAAGCATAGTTTCGATCCTGTGAAGCTACGAGCCCTCTCAATGGTTCCGTGTTCCAACCACCAAACTAGCTCCAAGAAAAGGTACTGTGCAAGAGTGAGGGGCACTTGAAAACAATTTTTTTTCTTCATTGATTTTAGAGAGAGAGGAAGGGGGATGGAGAGAGAGAGACAGAAACATCGATGAGCGAGAACATCGACTGGCCGTCTCCTGCCTGCCCCCCACTGGGGATCGGGCCCACAACCTGCCATGTGCCCTGACTGGGAATTGAACTGGCGACCTCGTGGTGCAGGCTCGACGCTCAGCCACTGAGCCACACCGGTCGTGCTGGGGGCTCTGTTGTGCTTCTGGCAGCCTCACAGTCAGCTCACGTCTCCCTGTGGGCGGCAGGGTCGCCCGGTGATGACAGGGAGGACTCCTGGGCGGGTCCTGCTCTTGGCCACTGCCGCTCTGCCTGCCCACACAGGCTCAGTGCCGAGCCTCCTTCCACACTTCCCCCGACGATGTTTCTGGAGTTTGGGGTGTTGTCTAAGACTGGCCCCCCAGGGAATCGTGCAATGTCACAGGCCCTGTTTCCACACTCAAATCCGAGCTGTGCTTGGGCATGACTTTGGCAGCAGGACAGGTGCCTGTCCTGGAGGCTGAGCCGCAGGAGGCCTTGTCGTGTCCATGCTCCCCTTTCGGAGTCCCGGGGCGACCTGGCTGTGAAGATGGCCCATCTGGCCCACAGTGGCTGAGGCCTCATGTGGAGAAGAGCTGATGTGCCAGGGGTGGTAGCCAGCATGGCTGTGCCCTTTGGACCCTTTGGCTGAATGCAGCTGCATCGGTGACCCCGGTGACCCCAGCAGAAGAACAACCCATGCAATAGTGTGGAGGAACAGGGCATCCGTCCTAAACTGTTCCATTTTGCCGTGGTTGGCTAGCCTCCCGCCCCGAGTAAGTGACCTGAGACGAAGCCACGCGTTCAGAGTGGTAGATCAGGAAGAGGCTGTTCGGGGCCGGGAGACCAAGTGCTGTAAGCGTCTGAAATCTAGTTAACTTTGAACCCCTACACATCAGTGAAGTTTGCTCAAGATGCTGTCAGCCTCATAAAACCTGTGATAGAAACGGCAACTCAGATTCAACCAGGCTAACTTTGAAAGTTCTCTCTTGGAATTCCAGAAAAAAGGGAAAGCTCTCGAAATAGATGATTTTATTGCATTACTGTACAGGAGACACGTAATTCCCACCCCCTCCTGTGACATTTTCTGGCATTTGTGCAAAATTTCAGGGGAGCACTCCTTCTCTGACTGTTCTGTGGGATCTGATCACTACTCGGCCCGATGACCTTTTCCAAAATACGCCCCCTAAGCTCAATCCCTACACTTTGTAAGGAAGCCTAGAATGCACCCCAAAATCATCGAACTCACCACTCTGGAGAAAGAAAAAAGCCTTTTGTACAAACTTATTTAGGAACATTACTAAAAGGAATGGATATTCACAAAACTATGCTTAGCAATTCTCATTTTAAGAGCCAAAGACTCGGTGGTCCCTGGGTGGTGGTGTTAAAGATATGAATACTGGCGATTTGTTCTTGGCCAACAGGTGGCCTTTCGTCAGGAGGACACCTGGCTGGCTGGGACCTGCCTCCCACTCACCTTTCTAGCACTGCCTGGGGCCCCTTCCTTCCAAGCCACGTGGAACCACATCTGGCTACTTTGTGTCTCTGTTACCACACCAGCTGTTCCCTCCGCTCTGCCTCTCCTCTGCCCAGCCGGCCGGTCTGATTCCAGCGCCCCTTCTCGGCTCCGTGGGCCCCAGGCATGGCGCTGCCATAACACTCATCCCACTGGGCACTGACTGTGTTCTCAGTGAGGCCCCAGGCTCCTAACGTGGGTCTTTGCTTCTGTATTCACAGTGCCCAGCCCAGGGCTTGACGTGTAATAAGTGCTGAACAAATGTCTTCTCAAGGGACTATAAGCCTCGTCTGACCAATTAGTTACAGGATGCATTCACTTGGATAAATCAAGGGCAGCTTAAATGAAATATCCAAAATGGAGCTCTTGCTGACACCCCAAATGCAAAAGCCCCGGTCCTCACCCAGGCCCCAGTCGCAGGAAATGCGCCTCTGCCCACTGAGACACCTGGCGTAGAAATTGGGGGCAAGCCGTTACTGCTTTGTCTCCTTCGAGTACATTCTCCACACGGCAACCAGAACAATCTCAAAGTGCAAATTAGGTCATCCTGCTTTCTAGAACCCTCCATGGCTCCCCATTATGCTCAGAATAGAATGCGTTCCCCTCCCCCCGGCTGTGAGGCCCCACATGACCGGCCTCCAGCTTCGCCTTGTGCTCTGGTCACACTGGTCCCTGGGTGTGGGTGCTCCCAGGGCTCCTGACATGCCCATTCGGCACTCGGGTCCCGGGCCTGGCCGGTCTCCAGTCTCCGCCCCAGACCGTCCCTGACCACACGTCTCAGGTAGACGCAGCTGTTTGCGCCCACCCGCCGCAGACCCTTATCACGGCCTTTCCCCACCCAGCATTAGTTTGCTCATTTTGCTGGTTATTTCGCACACCCCTCTGAAGGCGAACGCCATCGGGGAGACTCGGGCCCGTGCTCACTGCAGCTCCCGCTTGGAACCCTGCGGACACAGAGGCGTTGGAAAGACGTGCAGTGAACGAGGGACCAGCCAGAGTGCAGGAGAGGGACCCGAGCACATCTATCACTCGAATCCCTGCACACCCAAGCGCAGCCAGGTGCAAATCGGGGGCCAGACTCGGAAGATTCAGGGAGACACACAACCACGACGCCGTGAGCACTCACGTAGGGCCTGTGTGTACCTCATCTCACTTAAACCGCAGCGCGATGCGGCAGCCATTCTTATCACCACTTTACAGAGGGACAGAAAGGCTCAGCACCCCGCCGACCTGGCCACACCCACCCAGCCTGTGCCACAGAACCAGGTTCCGCTGTAGGTCGGCTGACCCCGCCTGGAGCCCACGCATGCTCCACGACCTCCCATGGTTTCTGGGTTTTTCCCAGAAGAATTAAACCAGAGCCCTGACTTGCTGCTCCAAGGTTACAGCAGGTCGCACGTCTCACTTCCTTCCCCCAGGTGACCTTGCACCAGGACCCTGCACGGGGCAGCTCTGCTCTGCCAGACAGGCATGGCACCCCTCCTCTGCAGCGGCGACCCTTCCTTACGCTTTACGTGCTCACTGACTCAGGCCTGACTTCCAACAACCCCCGCGGTCGGGGGTCCTCACCTCGGAATTCCAGGCCTCGAAGCTGAAAGGTCACGAGGCCGTTTCCGATTTCAATCAGGTGGACGAAAGCGTTGAGGTAGTCCGAGGCCAGGATGAAGCAGTCGCCAGGGCTGTAGTTCCCCCACCGGCCGAGGACCAGGTCCCCACAGAGGGACTCCTGGAGAGCCCGCGTCAAGTGCTCATAGAAGATGGAATTGAGGTTGTTGTCGTCGCTCGCTGAGGACAGAACAAGAAACGCGCCGAGTGAGTGTGCACCCCTGGGGCTCAGCCCCAGGAGACAGCTGGCGTTCGATCGCGGCCAAATCAGGCTTTTCAGATACTTGGCCCACTTCAGTGGCTTTTGTGAGACGCCCCCATTTCCCCCTCATGCGTTTCCTAGGCGGAGTCCTCGCACAGACGGACTGATCAGTCTACCTGCAGAGCACTCGCAACTCCTGCCTGCAGCTGGGACCACTTGCCCGCGCTCTCGACCCTCTACCTACTGTCGCCTGTGTGTTTCGAATGCTCCTCACCTTCACCACGTCCAGGTCGGGCCCCTGAGCCCCACCTCGGCGGCGGCACCGACATCCGGGAATTCGTTCCTGCTCCTTCACACCCAAGCCTCTCGGTTTTACTTTCTTCTAGTGTTTTTCTCATCTCTCTGCCTTTCTCCATTTCCATCACCTGCCCTGCTCCGAGCCACACTATTTTCCAAGTGGACAACCACAGTAGTGGGGGGTCGCCTGTGCATCTTCCTGGGCCCTCAGCTGACCTGTCCCCAGCACAGGCAGGGTCAGCGTTCCGCACTGAACACCCGACGTGCTGCAGGACTCCTCATCACTGAAAGCCCTTAGTGGCCTCCCAGCGCTCTTCAGACAGAGACGAGATTTCTTAGCATCGCCTGTAATAGGGCCATGTGATTCGTCGTTCACAGGACTAAGATGGGACCGTCCTGAGCAAGCCCAGGACGTATGACCACACAGGAGGCACTGTGCCATCTGCCCCGTGCCAGTCCCCACCCCCACCTTGCACGGACTTCCTCCTCACCTCTGTGCTCAGCAACACAGATCTCCCTTCCTGTGGGTGGCTCGCGTGCCCCGCCCGCCCCGAGCCTTTGCAGACACTGATCTTTGGGCCTGGGTTGCTCTGACATTCCTCTCTGCTGGGTTTACTATTCGTAGGCTGCAGCTCCATCACCCCTCACGGAACCTGCTGACCACCTGGCTGGGCCAAAACCCTATTGCCAGCTCCCGGCACCGTGATCCTCGGCAGGCACCTGCCACCGTGGGAATTTGTTGTGTGTGTGTGTGTGTGTGTGCTTTAGAGGTTATTTGATTAATATCTGATTTCTCTAATACACCATAAAGTGAAGAAAGAAGAATCTATGTCTATTTTGCTTATTTTTATATCCTGAACCTGGCATAATTCCTAACATGTAGCAGGGACTAACTAAACATCTGTGGAATAATAGATAACACCACAGATTGTTCAGTTTCTTTAAGAGAAATTTTGTTTCTAAGAACATACCTATCAAGTAAATGCAGGGTTTTTTGTTTGGTTTTTGTTATCAAAGTCATTGAGGTATAATTTATAGACAGTAAATAGCCCGCTCTATTTATCTATCTATCTGCTAGCATATAGATATTGTTAGTATTATATACAAATATACATTATATATTATATAGATATAAATTATTAGATTATGTAAGTGCTATTTATTGTTTTAAAGTTATCTATGTGTATACAACTCAGATTAATTGAGAAATAATTTATGCAGAGTAAAATTCACCCTTTTTAGTGGACAAACCTATGAGTTTTAAAACTGCATATAGTCATGTACTCACCCCTTTGCAAGTGCATATGTTGTGTGTGGCAGTGGTGTGTTCTCGTTGCTGAGCACGAGCCTGTGCATGGACTACAGTGTGTTCACTCACTCATCCATGAAGGACATTTGGGTTGAAGGACATCAGTGTTGGTGACTATGAGTAAATCCACTAAAAATATCCATGAACACAAGTTTGTGCGAACGGTTTTCATTTCTCTCGAGTAAAGCCCTCAGAGCGGCCATGCTGTCTCCAGCGTGGCTGTAGCATTTCTGTGTCCCCTGCCCCCGCCACAGTCACTTCTAACTGGGTAGATGATGGCACCAAGGGAAGAGGGAGGGACAGACAGACACAGCAAAGAAGATGAAGTGACAGAATGCCCTCCTTCACAGTGGAAGCCCAGGATGTGTGTGTTTGGGGGGCATAAACTTTGGGGTTCATGGTGCCTTTCCCTGCTCTCCCTAGTGGGCCCTGACTCCTTTGCTCCCCCATTGCATGTCTCATGGTCAAGGAGAGAAGCTTTTTTGATAAGACCGAATAAACTGGGAAGTCCTCCTGGTTTGGGTCCTGTGGGTGGAGAAAAGTTTGCATTCAGAACTTTTATTTTCGGAGAATCTTTTCTCTAGGGAGTAAATTCTGGCTCTGGAAAGTCAGCGAACCATAATGTTGCTCAGAAGAGAAGACCCCAGCCTGCAGTGGAGCCATCTACTGGAGGAGGACAGAGATTCAGGGTGGTCCGAGAGAGACTATGGATCTGAAGGTGCTTCCCCTAGCCTTACCCCTGGGAACCGAAGCATGCTTGGGGGCAGAAAGGTGAAGACTGGCCCCAGGTGCTCCTTCGCAAGTGAGCTGATCCACCTCCAAGAATCTATAAGGTAATGCTATCGAATTATGACTATTGTTGCTAGGCATTCGTGACTGTTCAAAGCTGAATTGAAATCAATGTATTTATAACCTAATTATGATTAACTGAAAGAAATAAACTGTTCTATGGGCTGAGTCATGTCATGTACTCTAATGAAGTATCAGTGTGCTTAATTTCCTGTGCAGACGACGCTGCGTGCCCTCCGTTACATTCACTTTCTACCGTGCTTCGACATGCGTTCTGAGACCTGACCAGAGACCACTGCGCCTGGGGCAGCTGTAAAGGAGGCCTGGGTGAGAAAATGAACTTTTGCTTAATTGTTCAAACTGCTCGATGTTTAAATAAAACAAAACAATTTGATCTACCAAAAGTGGAGACCTTCTCCGAACACACTGGCCGCACCTCTGCATAATTCGATTAAAACGAGACAAAGTTATGAACAACTACAGGCACAGTGCACTTGTGACGCCGTCCGTGTGCCGGATACCAACGGCACGGCAATGCCATCGCGTCCCAGAGCCCACTTCAGAGCTATTTGTACCCGCCCCCAAGCTGTACTGCCATGAAGTTCAACAACAACAAAAAAATAAGCCCGTCTTTTCGGGTATTTTCAGATTTGAACTGGTGATTTCAAATTAATCATGTATATGCAATTCAAATACAGATAATGAGCATGATACAATTCTTCCTAAACAAATTCCCGGCACGGGGGAGAGTGAGGTGGATAAAAATAGAAGAGTTAAAATTTGCATTCTGATATGGAAAAAATAAAAGAGGTAGAATGATGAAAAGTTAGATAGATTATGGAAAGAAAAAATAAAATGATTTTCTAGCAGGTAAGTCCTTCCACAGCTTGATGCTGAACGGACCTGAAGGCTTCTGGGTGATGGATCTTGAGCTGTAGAAAGGCTTGTCTGCACTGCTGTTTTTCCAAAGAATTTGTTTTGTAGTCTGTATTTGATGTTTACCACACAGACACAAACATGTCTTAATCAACAGAGGCATTCAATACGGAATCAATTCTAAATAATGAACAGGTTCCTTTCCAAACCACACTGGTATGCTTGCCCGGTCTATCTGCACAGCTTTATCTTTAGAGTCCGTGTACTCACAAGACATGCTTTGTCCCCACAGTACTTCAAAAGAGGGAGTACTTCAAAAGAGGGAGTACCTAATCCCCTTTTTGGATTGAAGGAATCCATCTATATAACAAAATAAATAGTCTGAATAAAAGAGAAGGAAGGTAACGTCTTACCTGGATCCCTTTCCATCTGGACCACCAGTCTTGTGTTGGAATTGTCCACGCGCCTCGTGCTATAAGAGACCACAAAACGGTGAGAGTCATGGTTAGAACCCTAGAGAGAGCTGGTTCACAGACTCAGCGGTGAGTGGGGATGCGGGAGGGGAGCCCACGTGCAGTAGGAGGAGGGTGGCTCTCATGAGACAGCGAGAGGGGTCTCTGCAAAGAGGGGGGTCTCTGGTGCAGGACAGAGGAAGCGGACAAGAGCACGTGGAGGAAGGAGATGGCGTGTTCCCAGGATGAGGGAGAACAGCCTTGTGCCTTATCAGTTTGGAGCATCAGATCCAAAAACAAAAGCAAGCGATGAACGCCGCAGTGTCACCCTCTTTCAGACCTGAGATCAGTGCACACCCGTAGTCACCTTCCTTTCCAAACGGAGTCCAGAGAGTCGTGGCGACTCGTCTACATCTCCCACTTGCTTTCAAGAGCTGGGGGCATTCTTACAGACCTTTCTCAGGTTGAACCACAAAAATAAAATCACCTCTCACCAACTTAGGAGAAGATGGAGTGTCGGTAGCCATGGTGACAAGCGGCCACCTGAAGTTTTAAACCTCTTCAGGCGTGACAACTCACCTCAGTGCACAGCTTTGGGAAGCCAGCCCATCCACGTGGACCCTGGCTTCTAAAAGCCATCGAGTGAGGGACAGACTCACTCCAGACTTCTGAGGGGTGCCCGTCAACAAAGTCTCCCCAAGTCACTGCCTGTGCAGATGGTGTCACCCCACTGATGCCTCTAAACTTCACCAGTCCTTGGGTTTCACGTGTCCCCCGACCCCCGTATAATCACATAGCCTGCTCTGCTCAGAGAGACTGTGCCTGACCAGCACTGTTCTTAGCTCAGACACTGAGTGGTGGTCTCGTCATCCTTTGACAGCTGAAATATGAAATTAATGTTGACCATGTGAAGTTGCTGATATTTAGCTATTCGTGACCTACGGAAGCGGCAATTTCATGGGTAAACCTAAGCCGTTATGTCCTCACGGTCACCTTGTCGGGTGGGTACCGTTGTTATACCCAAGGTGGCAGAGCCAGGCTTTGAACCGCACAGGCTGGCTCTGGGCTTTGCTCCACACCAGGCCGCATGTTTCTTTGTGCGATTATTTGAATTTATTGGCCTTTTACACCAGACCCTGAGTATCACGAGGGCAAGCTTCCGGCTCACAAATGGCATATAGTAGTCACTCAATTAGTATTCGCTGAATGAATGTGAAAGGTCAGAGATAATGCTGCTTTGCAAGCTGTTTTCTCTCGTGGTATCTGCTAAGGAGAAAGGAGAGTCGCTGCCACATTTCAGTTTGATCACTGACATCTGAGTATGACTTAACGCATGATGAGCGCTTGCTGGTAATGACGCTTAAGAAGAAACCTCTGAATGCAGGCTTCTGTGAGCTTGTCTCTTGGAAATCAGAACAGATGAACAGATACCTAGACGGAAGTGTGATCTGAATAAATGAAAAGGTTTGTCTGCAGAAAAAACAAGTGTTCTCTTTCTCTTGTACGTCCCATATATTTGAGAACCACCTGGGCAGGACTCGGACAGCTCTGGGCCAGAGAGGGGTCTTCCGTGACGTCCCGGGGGCATCAGTCACCCCCAGCAGCGCCAGTACTGCGTCTTGTTTCCTTCAAAAGGCCCTCAGACCGGCTTGGAAGGAGAAGAGCCCAGGGTGAAAGAGAATGAAGCAAACAAATTTCTTTCAAATGAGGCCGACGTCCCACGTTGACATAGTGAGTCCCTAAATGGAATTTTAATTTCACCTTAAGACCTAGGACAAATGGAATTTTCAGCAGCAGAATAAACAATTTTTAAAGTGGGATCGAGCCAAAAGAAAGTAATTTACCAAACTCCTTCGGGACAGCAGCACCTACGCGATGCTAACGGAGAGCTGCCCTTGCAAGTGCCCAGGGCCGAGCGCCGAGCTCCGAGCGCCAGGCCCCGCCGCCCTGCGCCCAGGGCCCTGCTCTCCAAACCCCGCCGCCCTGCGCCCAGGGCCCTGCTCTCCAAACCCCGCCGCCCTGCACCCAGGGCCCTGCTCGCCAAACCCCGCCGCCCTGCGCCCAGGGCCCTGCTCGCCATGCCCTCGAAGAACTGTCACCACACCGGGCAGTTTGATTTTCCTCCAGTGCTTCCCTCCCGGAAACTTGGTGCTCACCTCTCAAAGGTGCTCATTAGCTCAGTAACTGGATCTCTGCCTTAACCGTCCTCCTGCATGAACATCAGTTCTGTGGCTCAGAGAGGAAATGGGGCTGCTGTCCCGTCCCCGATCGGGGGAGTGCAGAGTGCTGGGCCGCGTCAGGTGTGCATCTGCGTGCACCCTTCTTCCCACGCCCTGGCACAGTCACTGTGAACCGCTAGGCAACCTTGTGCTGAGGGCCACCGGCCAGGAGTCCAGCAGCACCCCTCCCTTAGGTGACATGGAATCAGGGCGAAGCTGTCCCCCCTTCAGACTGCGTTCCCACCGCCTGTCCCGTCTCCGAGGCCAGCTCCTGCTCTCTCACACGGTTTCACCTGGGAAACCTACACAATCAACAGCAAGTTACTTAAACACACCGCGCCCGTTCCCAGTTGTCAGATGGACCCCGGTGGTACAGCTAGGTCCTTTTTCCTTTTCCTTCTTCTTTTTGTTAATCCTCACCTGAGGATACTTTTCCCAGTGACTTTTGGAGTGGAAAGAGGGGGAAGGGAGAGAGAGAGAGAAACATCGAGATGAGAGAGAGAGAACCATCGAGATGAGAGAGACACATAGATTGCGTCTTCCACACGCACTGACTGGGGCCGGGGATCAAACCTGCAATCCAGGTACCTGCCGTTGACGGAATCAGACTCAAAAACCCTTCGGTGCCAGGGCCGGCACTCTACCCACTGGGCACAGTGGCCAGGGCAAGTATTCCCTTGTTCTGTTGGGGAACTGTGAAGTGTGACAGGCTGGCGTGAGAAGTCTGGCGGGTGTCTGTTCCCCTGGCAACCCCAGGACAGTTACGAACGGACTGCAGATCTCTTCCTGGGGCAGAACAGTCTTAGGGAGTCTGGACAACGAGGAGACGGTCAGAGCGTAAAGAGAGAAACAGTCACCGTCTAAGTTGAATGTATACACAAGGCTCAGCGGGTTTGTTTCCCATCTTTAATTGTTGCTTCCACTGACCACCAACGTCGTATTATTTCCCTCAATGCCAATGCAGCTCCTGGCTGCCGAGTCTCCACACCCTTCAGAATGACTCGGCTAACAGAGATCTCAGCCTCGCTGGCATCTGGGAGGCCTGGTTTGATCTGGTTCCCTGGTACCTTGGCGGGCAGCAGTTTGGAACCCGAATTCAAGGCGGGGCCTCTCTGTCGTGACTTCTTCAGGTTCGCCCTTCAGCACCATAAACCCGACCCAGTCTGGCCGGTCCTTCTGGCCAGCAGAGACTGTTCGGTGGAAGTAGGCATTTGCCTTCTCCTGAATTTTGGATTGAATTCCTCAGTACCTTGAAGGTTTTAAGAAAGTTGTCGGCTTTTTGATTTATATTTTATCCATTTTTCTTTAATTGTCCTCAATAGGGAAGGTTGGTCTTGATTACCTCACACATAATCACAAGAAATTAAATTATTGTTGTTTGTAGGAATTCTAAAAAAGGGAATTGCTTTTAACTATTATACTGGGTGGGGCAAAAGTAGGTTCACAGTTGTATGTGAAACAGTTTATTCTTGTATTATTATTTATTAATTATTGCATTATTTTCCACATGAATAACTGTACACCTAGTTTTGCCTCACCCAGTATAAGCAGTGTGTCAATATTCCATGTGCACTTGAAAAGGCATACCCCGTTTCCTGTATGTACATTTATGTATGCGTGTGTGTTCCATAATACATACCAGAGCTATGTTATTTAGTCTTCTATATCTTTATTTAATTTTTGATCACTTTTTTGGCCATAAACTGTGAAGAGTTATATTTCCTACCACTACTGTCTCTATTTCTTATTAAATTTCCTTTTATTTTTTATAATTTTTTTCTGAGTTAATGCATTAACATTTATTGGTTTTTTTCTTCATTATAAATTTTCATTTTTCCTGTTATAAATGTTCTTGATCCTAATAATTTTTACCCCAATTCATCTTTAATATTAAACCACAATCTCTGCTTTCATTTGTTTGCATTTGCCTAATGTTTTCACCAATTCTTTTATTTTCAGCTTTTCTGAGTCGACATATTTTAGTTGGTCTTTACATTTGGTGTCCAAACAGATGTATTTGATCATATTCTGTCATCATAGTTTATGTTATCATCTGATTTTATTGTTTCTTTGGCTCTTGAACACATTGCACTGTGGTCTGATTTTAAAATCATAAAGGCAATATTATAAATATCATAAATCAATACCATGAACAACTTTGTTGCAATAAATTTAAAAACTTAAATAAAATAGACTTTTCATTCTAAATATATGTCCAATCAATTTGTCTAATTATCTGTCGTTCTGGAGTGTCTAAACCTGGTGGTCATTTGTTTGCTGACTCTTGCTCACCATGAATGTTTCTTCCTGTGTTTTGTGGTGTCAGATTGAATGCTCCTTCCAGTGGTGTTTAACTGTGGGTTCAGTGAGGGATGTCCCTTGAAAATAGTTCTACAGTTGCATCTGTCAGTTAGAAACTAGGACCACTCGGATGCTGCTTTCTCGGCTGGAGGCTTGCCAGACACGGGTGCTGTGAGTGGCTTGATCCACAGGTGACAGCGTCACAGTGGAGACCGGCTCCCAGCTGGGCTCTGGCTGGCACAGGTGAGCGTCCCTGTCATTCTCCGGGTTGGGCACTCTGTTCCTTCATCGAGAGGAAGCTCCACGCGGGAGTCTCAGCCCAGTCCTCCTGCCCCGCAGGACTCGTCCGCCGGCCTGGCATGGGTTTGTACATCTTAGCCCCCAGGCTGCTGAGGCCTGGGCAGGGCAGCCGCTCTGCTCTGTTCTTCTCCCTCTTCATGTCTAGCCCTTGAGAGCTGTCCGACTGTCTCGCTGCGAGCGAGCAGGAATCGAGAAGGAGC